AGTAATGTATAAGGTAAGAATAAGAAATGGTAAACTGATTTCCAAGTGTGATTAAGCAAGAAATATGTCAGCAATTCTATACAGTCTCTCATTGATAATGTAATGGGAATTGATTTCTCCAGCCCTAAAAAGGAACAATTTGAACAGTTACATTTAATTCCTGGATGTGCTAAATTTTTGCTCGTGCTTTTGAAATGGAAATCTTATATTTTTTAAACATGTTTTTATGTTTCTTTCCTGATTCCTATTTTCTCAATATTGACCAACTTTCACTCTCTTAGTCTTTCCTCAATTTGACATAAATTCACCCTATTTGATTTACTACACTTCTCTCCGAGTAACGATGTTGCTGAGTTGGTAATCCTGAGGTGTAGCCTAATACTCTTAGACAGTAGTTCAAATTCCACTACAGCAGCAAGTGGCATTTAAATTCAGTAAATAAATCTGGAATATACAAGTTGGTCTGAGCAATGCTGAGCCTGTCAACCAGCATTGTGTGTCGTAAATATCCATCTGGTTCACTAATGTCATTTAGGGAGGGCAATATGCTGCCCTTACCTTATATAACCTACATGTGACTCCAGGCCCACAGTAATGGGATTGACTCTTAAATGCCTTCTGAAATGGTGGAGCAAGCCACTCAGTTCAGGGGCAATTAGGAATAGGTCAGGAATGCTCGCCCAGCCAACAGCTTCGACATCTCAAAACTTTTTATAAAAATAGGAAAATGTTAAATTAACAGTTTGTACCAAAGGATGCCCCACCCCCAGAATGTTTGCTTCCGTGGAAATATTGTAATAATACCCAAAAGAACTGCGGACACTGTAAATCAGAAACAAAAATAGAAATTGCTGGAAAAGCTCTGCAGGTCTGACAGCATCTGTGGAGAGAAATCAGAGTTATCATTTTGGGTTGAGTAACCCTTCCTGAGAAACATTGTAATTTTTGTTTTCCCTGTCCTGTTTTGCAAAATTCCAATCCACAGTGCATTGTGCAACTTTGGACAAAGGGTTTATCTTGTAAATGCTTTGTCCATCAATTTACTATGTTGCCACTAGCTGAGGTAAGCTTTCTCAATTTGTGAGACCAATACATTTAGAGACAGAGTCATACAGCATGAATACAGACCCTTCGGTCCAACTTATCCATGCCATCCAGGTTTTCCAAACTAAAGCAGTCCCACTTGCCTGCATTTGGCCCATATCCCTCTATATCTTTCCTATTTGTGTATCTGCCCAAATCCTTTTACATGTTCTAACTGTACTTGCATCCACCACTTACTCTGGCAGTTTATTCCACATACGAACCACCCTCTGCGTGAAAACATTGCCCCCAGGTTCCTTTTAAATCTTTCTCCACTCACCTTAAAAATATGGCCTCCAGTTTTGAACTCTCCCACCCTAGGGTAAAGACTTTTGCTATTCACCTTATCTATGCCCCTCACGATTTTATAAACCTCTATAAGGTCACCCTTCAACCACTTATGTTCCAGTGAAAGAAGTCTCAGCCTATCCAGTCTCGTCTTATAACACAAACGTTTGAGTCCCAGCAACATCCTGTTAAATTTCTTCTGAACCCTCTCCATTTTAATATAACCTATCTATAGCAGGTTGACGAGAACTGCACACAGTACTCCAGAAGAGGCCTCACCAGTGTCTTGTACAACCTCAACAGGATGTCTCAATTCCTCTATTCAGCGACCTGAGCAATGAAGGCAAGCTGTTAAACCTTCTAAACCACCCTGTCTATATGTGACTCAAACCTCAAAGAACTATGTACTTGAACGCCTGGGTCCCTGTTCTAGGACACTACCAGGGCCCTACCGTTAACTGTATAAGTCCTGCCCTTGTTCGTATTAGAGGTTTGTGAATATAAATCTGTTTACTATTTGGACCTGCCAGGAAAACATTTTTTTTCAACATCTTTAAAGCCAGTATTATTTATTTTCTAATCAGTGTTTGAGGACTTACCAACTAACGAAAAGTCTCTGCGTCAGTTTCAACTGAAAAGGCTAATCTACTTGGAATACACTGTGCAAAATAGACAACATTTTCATAAAGTTAGCATCCTGATTTTTCTCTTTTGAGTTATTTTTCTCTATTTATCAGTCCAACACTGAAGAATAAGCGGAGAGAGAGAAATCACAACGAACTGTGGATGCTGGGAATCTGAAACAAGAGAAATTGGTCTCCTTTCCTCTCCACTGGAGAGATTAAGTGTGTGCGTGTGTATGTGGACGGGAATTGAAAAACAGGCGCAGATTTCCACTAACTGCGGTCCAAAACGACAGATTCCTGGGGAGTATTGATGCAAAATGAATCCCTCACTCCCTCAGAAGAACCCTCCCGCAACTGTTGCAACATTCTTGGTACATGAACACACCTTGCACCCCGGCACAGCCCACGATTCTTCACACGAGTGACTGGATCCGAAACATTGACTCTGCTTACTCGCCAAAGATGCTGACAGAATTGCTGAGTTTCTCCAGCAAATTCTGTATTTTTTTTTAGTTTCTGACCAACAGGCAACTCCATTTCCCATTTAAATTCACGTGGCCATTAATATACTTTTACAACCTGTTGCCATATCTTGAAGTAATGTTATCGCCAATTTCAGTTTGACAAAAGCCTAAATTGGAAGCGGGGACTGGACGAAACTCTGAACTCGTTATTGTTTGGCTTTGCATCGAGAACTCCAATTAAGCGCACACATACACACGTGCATTATATATATATAACGTGCTTATGTAAGTGCCATGGCTAATTTTAAAGTACATTACGGACATTTCCAATAAACTGCAATTTCCATTGCGACCAGTAAGGGATGCTCTAATCCTGCTGTGTTCGGTGTGAGTCACCAAAAAGCACTTTCCTTTGCCCTTCAGAATACACAGCACCATTGGAGTTGAAAGCAGTAACAGTAAGAGCTATATACATGTAGAACTAACTAACGTGTGAAATTGTATTAATAAATACAAGTATTCTGGTAAATCTGGAAAGAAATTAGTGCGCTGTAGAAATGAGGAGATTGGTTCCAGGAAGCCTCAGTATCAGCAATTGCAGTTTCTCCTCGATTTGAGGGAAATTATCAATAACCTGTCATCGTTTAAATGACACGATAGACTTGAACCGCACGGATGATCGCTCCTCTGGCTTGGTTTTATTTTATTTTTCACGGCCGCTTACACAGAAATACAACTCTCTGCTTCTCTTCATAGAAATCTTGCTTTGAGAGATTTCACTCGGGAGACAGGTCAAGGCTCTCTTGTTAACGTGGCCAGGGTGGAATAACAGTGACGGCTTCCCACCCCCTACCCCCCCCCCCCCCCCCCCCCCCCCCCCGGCTCATCGTGGTACCGTAATCTTGTCACTGGCAAAGCAGACTAGTAGCTCATCAGAATCTCTAAACGCCATGGGTTCCAGAATGAAGCTGAACCTTCATTCTAAATCCGTAAGTATTCTTGACCTTTATGCCTCGTAGATCATTTCATTGCTCTAATCTACCTGCACAAAAAAAAATGTTGTTTTGGGATTTGAAAAGTGTTCGCGTTAGAACGACTTGTTTATGTTGATTGAAGCTGAAGAGAATATAAGCGAGGTTACGAGAGTCTGCAATTTCTGCCTCTCTCGCTGTGCAATGTACAACAAATCAATCTCGTGTGTGTCTGTGTGTACAGTATTTCACTGGCGCACAGAATTGGAGCTGCCCATTTCGAATTGAAGCAATCAAAAGTGTTCCGAATGAAAATAAATTATTAATCCCGTTGCCTCTTTGATGGGTTAAGTGTGTGTGGGTCTACCTTGGCAGCGATTTAACAGAGTAAATAAACACCCCCTCCCGCCCCACCTTTTCGGCGTTTATTTGCTGTGGGATTCAGGAATCTTGTTTAGCCAGGGACGCTAGGTGCGTTCATGCATCAAGAACATCGCTATAATTGAGGGGAGGGGGTGATGAGGGGATGAGGAGCTCATTTTGTCTCAGAGTCCTGCAGGAGTCTTGGTCAGCGGATAGTGCAGTTTTGGACAGCGGTTAGTGAAACTGTGCACCTGCTCTTCAATTCACCGCCCCCCACTTTGTAAACCAGTCGAGAGGAAAGGTGAGCATCAGATGTGTAAAAAAACACACTGATGTGTATTTTAATTGAACACCCCCCTCTCTCCTCCCGGTTAAACTCAAATATTTTTGTCTCTGGTGCCAGGAAGGAATGGGCTAATATTATGTGTACCGCGTGAATTCAACCCAGAAATGACGTGACCCGAGAGAAACACTGTGGAGGTTGGAATCTGATTTCCAAGTTTTTGTTTTGTTTGGGTGGCGGGGTTGATGTGTCTATTAATAACACGCACTGTGCCTAATGTGACGATTCCAGTGGCAACTTCTTTTGTTTGTTCTGTTGTCTCTTGCAGAGCGTGTGAATGGGGCAAGTCTCAAAGTGGTGAACCTCGTCTTTCTTGGCCCCCAGCACAACTCCTCACCTGCGCCAGACCGTCTCTCATTCACCGACCCCCTCCCCCCTCAAAGTACAATAAGCTGTCGGAACACATAGAATTGGAACATTCGCAAGAAAGGGGAGAGAGAGAGTTTTGTTTGAACACAGTTTTGTGGAGAAAGAGGAGAGAGTTTTGTTGGAACACACAGGACAATTTTGTGAAGAGGAGAGACAGTTTTGTTGGAACAAACAGAAGACAATTTCGTGAAGAAAGAGGAGAGACAGTATTATTGGAACACACACACAAGAAGACAATTTTGTGAAGAAAGAGTCAGTTTTGTTGGAACACACAGGACAATTTTGTGAAGAAAGAGTCAGTTTTGTTGGAACACAGGACAATTTTGTGAAGAAAGAGGAGAGGCGGTATTATTGGAACACACACAAGACAATTTTGTGAAGAAAGAGGAGAGACAGTATTATTGGAACACACACAGGACAATTTTGTGAAGAAAGAGGAGAGACAGTATTATTGGAACACACACA